CAAATCGGAGGCTCACTTTATCCCCTTTTCTAACACAAGGTGCCTACTCAGCGGAACAACGGTGAAGTTTACGTAACAGTAGTTACTAAAGTTGGACTCTGTCATTCAAGTTGGACATAACAGATGCCCACAACTATCGCAGAGGATATCATGATGACATATATGCACATCTTATGGAGAAACAATTTTCTGATCAGTGTCCCTAGTTCAGTTTGCAAATATATTTCATAATTGTGGAATCAAGCTGTAACCCAATATATATATATATATATATATATATACATACATATGCATTATATGTAAATATATGTTTGCCGGTTGACCAAAAGCTCTTACACTAACCTTGATGTAAGATCAATTCTATTCCCATCCTTGAATCAAGTCAACCTGTCCCGGATCAGCCTAGAGTTGTTGCAACCCAATTATTCATGCCTAACGTGTCTATCCCTGCTTGTTTAATGAACTGTGTGTATGTGTTTTTACCTCGATCCGTTTAGTCAGGCAGTTGAACTCATGACCCAATCAGAGTATTTTGTGAACTGTTATTTTTGCTGACCCATGTCTAACTTTGTACTATTCTGTCGAGTTTATCTTATTTATTGATTTTCATCTGTATTTTCCTACCTGGTTACGTAGCCAATTAAATTCTATCTTTGTGCCTATGCTCGGTCTATCTCTCTTAAACGCTCTCTGTTTTATGCCATACCTTACTTGGGTTCATTCTTCTACTAACTGCTTACCTGAACGGTCGTGTCTGGTTCCGGCTAGTTCGCAATTTTGGTTTTAACGTTATTCCGCTCTGATAGCGGTACCTTGCTTTCTGTTAAGCGTTGTGCCTTGTACTCTTGAAACCGTTATGGTTTGTTGTATATATAATTATTGATTTGTTTATTAATAGTACCGTAGAAACAGTGACCGGCTTCTTGTTTGTTCTGGACCGGAATAGCCTTTATCTACGCGTGACTTAATTTCAAGCGATATTGCGCTTACACTTGACGATTGAACAAACCTGCAAGGAGTGCTGTTTCTGTGACGTGAAAGAAGTAACTGTTTGTATTCATGTATGGAAAGCGTGAATATGAAATAGATGTCCAAAATCCAATCATCACATGAAATGTCAAGTGTCTGTAACGATGGTTCGTTTAAAAATGAATTATTAGCCTCAGTGGGGAAAGTGGTTTTGATGCATTATATTATTGTCATGAAGACGGTGCACTAAATCATCGTTATGTCTCAAAGTAAACTTCGAAAGACGTTATTAGTAATGAGCTACAATAGCTGCACTACCCACTTCTCGAACGCGTGTAATGGAAATTCACATAATGTTACAAGATGGAATGTTCCATTTTTCGGTTCTTGAGTAGCAATCAAAATGTAGCAGTTCAGATATCTCTTTGTGTCTCTCAAATCACTGGTTCTGTGAAGACGTCATTATACGGGAATCCATTTACACATTCAGGCCATTTACAATCTCTTTCATCTACTGTTTCTTCACAAAGGAGGAGAATATGAAATGCGATGAGTTTCCATAACCCCACTCTTGTTAAAAGTAGTCAGTGCATAGGACTATTAGAATGAGGGAATTAAAACAACGTCTTAAGATGAATAGTTTATTGATTGAGGTATTATCGGGATGCACATAAGAACGAAGGGGGGTCTGGAAGTATGTCAAATTTCGAAGGAAATCAAGTAACGGTCAAGGGTGAAAAAACTACCAGCAAACATCTGTGTAGAAATCAACAAAACTGTTAAGTGAATCAATCGCTAGGTATGCAGAGCCACGATTTCTAAATCTAAGTGGCTAGAGCTTCAACATTGAGCATCTCATGAACGATAACCATCTTCAATTTGTTTACGCATTTGACATGTTGCACAAGTGTCCCACAATATGTGAGGCCCCGACCACATTTCCGGAATCACTTGAAACAGTGTAATTAAAAATTTTGAAAAGAGCACTCGAATAATATGATTGCCTGCACTGATGAAACAGATGAACGGATAAAACGAGAGGGAAAACGCTCGATATCGTTATTCTGATGATCGCACATCAGGCAACGACTGAAGAGCACCACCCACTGCCAGTGTTAACACGAAGAATGACATCTCATTAGATATGCATATTAGTCTTTTAAAAAATGAAACCACTGTTTAAATCTCTTTCAAAATTTGTGGCAAAGGCTCAGTTTTTATGTAAGAGTTAAATCTCATTTAAACTGAACGTTCGAATTGATACTGTTGAGAGTTCATCACATGGGGAATATAAAGCTTTGCTGGTTAATGATCTACGGTGCCAGGACTGCTGACTATTTGGTAACGAATAAGCTCCAAATATATAATAGTCACTTTCTCCCCTGTTTTCTTCCTCGGATCTTTGGTATCTTTTAATTTATTAAAACCCTAACCTTTTGTTAGTTTTCATCTCTGATGTTTCCGATATAATTTTGATGTGACTTTTTTGTCGTTTGATTGCCGGTGAGTGAATGTGTCTGTTTCATAAAACATGCCATCTTAATACTTCTCAGTTTTCGATGATAATACTATAGCAAACCACACAGTTACTTCTATATCTCTCGTCATGTGTTCCGATGAAGGAGGTGCATGCGAATAACAGCAATTTTAATCAACGGAGTCAACAACAACAAAATGTTATTCGAGCGTCACACTTCTCAGGAAATCAACCAAACAAAATAGTACATTGTTGTATTTTTCTTGATTGAAGAGCCTGTGTGTGATGTGTATATGTTATGCACGTGAATATGTGCAGTGTGTGATACGGTTTTGTGGTTAGTGCGATCGATAGCTGCATTTAGATTGTCGAAGAAGGATGTCAGAGTAAAAAGGGGCATTCATTTGAAAGAGAGCGGTGAATATTTGTTTGTAGATCACAGTTTATGCTGACATTAATCGCGATTTCTATTGCGTTATACACATATATATTTAACTCAATAAAATTGTACGTAAACTATCAGGCTATGCGTGTAGTGATCTACTCTGTGACATAAGTTCAGCCCGTCAATCGATGAAATGCCATGGTCATATCAACGCGTTAAAGTCACTTTGTTAACTGCGACTGACAGACCTTGACGAGTTCATCGGCGTTCTCAGTGTGTATGCGAATCAGTTTAAGATCTCATTTCACTGTATTTACGGAAATATGAGCTGGGAATGATAACCACACGCTCAAATACAACTCAGCTCATCTTACTCAATACTAATTTGATTTATTTGATAGTCACTATTGAGAACAAGATTCAGGTTTTCAACACGAATATTAAATCGGTCATTTCTTCTGTTCACCTCAGAGGCTTTTCAAATCACAAGAAGTACTGCCAGAACGCTACTGCGTATAGTCAACTAAAACTACCTTGGCTGGTGCAATAATGAGGAGCAGATGGTAGAATATAAATTATTAGTAATACGGAACCATGAAGATGGATGACAAAACAATCTGCGAAACAACAAATATAGTAAATTCAACGGAGGCAGATTTGGTACACATTTGGAAGCCTATAAAGTTAAACAGCATGTCAAGCCTTGCTTCGAGTGCAAAAGGAATAAAGAACGGCTATTTCCCGTAGCCCCATATAGCGAAATCAAGAGGATGATGATTTGAGGAAGTTATGAGAGTTTGTACACCGTCTTGGAGTTGGCTGAAAAAAGAAATGAAATGATTTCGGAGAAGCACGATATTCCACGTGGAAACCAACTGAATAATAATACAAATATTGAATTGAATTTTTGATTTTCCCGTCGATTGATTGGACCGAAGTGCTCGGTCTCAGGTTGACATGTCGGCTTCTTGTGCAGATGCTTCGACGATGTCTGGGTATTTAGTTAGTATACAATTGGTGGATGGTGCCTAGCAGTGGAATCCAGGATGCGCATTTCGTCCTATTTGCGACTCGCCAGCTGGACGTACCTGCATTTCTCAGTGAGTGATGATGTTCCCACCGAGGCTCGAACCCAGTACCCATAGTTTCAAACGCCAAAGCGTTATCCACTAGACCACCTGAGACCGAGCACTTCGGTCCAATCAATCGACGGGAAAATCAAAAATTCAATTCAATAATTAATATGACCCGTCGCACAAGAGGTGGCTCTCGTGGCCCAAGTGGTCTAGTGGATAACGCTTTGGCGTTTGAAACGATGGGTGCTGGGTTCGAGCCTCGGTGGGAACATCATCACTCACTGAGAAATGCAGGTACATCCAGCTGGCGAGTCGCAAATAGGACGAAATGCGCATCCTGGATTCCACTGCTAGGCACCATCCACCAATTGTATAATAATACAAATAATTTATAAAGAGGTGAAATTAATACAGGCAAATTGTCACCTTCAAGCAGAATGTAGTGAATTTCCAAAATTTCAACTAACATAGAAGCGGTCAAAGTCCTTTCCGAGTTAGACTGTTAGACAGAACAACTCAGCTTATGCGCTAAGAAATATTGGTTGGAAGTGAATTGTCGTATTGACTAGCAATCCAATATAACTTAGTTCACATTCGTCACCTCTTTTGAATATAGTCTAAAAGACGGTTTCATGAAGTAGTGACGGATTGGATTTGTGGTACAATATTATACAGTGTTAACCAATTTATCTGATGTAGTACACACTGACATTATCAAAGTGTCCACACACATGTATACAAACTACTGCAGATATTTAGTATGTTTTTATTTAATAATCTACTGTATATTCACGATGAAGCTGCACCGCATAATCAGCCGAAGATAATTTTATCAACTGTGTCTGAAGCATTCTGCTGCATGCTTCACATCCCCGATAGCTTATCCAGTTATCCGTATTCCTGACAGTATACACCCTAGACATTCACAGTTAGTTCTCCTCTACAGTGAATTTCACTAGCTGATGGCACAAAAAAGTGAATTCACTCAGACAAAAACTTATTGAAGGTAAACTGAAGATTCAGCATGCACCTCAATGCTCGTTCTGTGAGGTAGATAGTCGATAAGTCAAATTATTACAAAGCCTGGAAAGCAAAACTCCAGAAATGCGATTTCCGCCAAACCCTGGTCGGTATGTTTATAATTTTTCTGATATTGTTCTTGATGACACTGATTTGCAAGTATTATCCATAGGCACTAAGTTTTGTGATAATCACGTTAGAATTAATAAGATGGATATGCAAGTCCAGTTTGAAAACTTTTATGCACAAACTGAAGGATTGACACCCTCGTCAGCTGAGGCAGTTGAAAGTCTTAAATCAACTCTCGTCGACTGTTGTTATAAATATATAAATAGTAAACGGAGACAGAATAGCTTATTGACCAAGAAACACAGGGAAGCCCTAGATAAGCTCCGAAATAATGAGAATATAATAATTTCGAAACCCGATAAAGGCTCTGGAGTAGTAATAATGAATAAGACTGAATACATAGATAAGATGAATGGAATACTCAGTGATCATCGAAAATTTCAAAAAATCACGTCTTCCGTCGATCCAACAGAAAAAGTAGAGAAACAGCTAATCGAGTCACTAAAAAGACTTAAACAACAAAGTAGCATCATAGAAGGTTTATATGAATCTCTAAAGCCTACTGGCACGATTACACCAAGATTATATGGACTTCCAAAAGTGCACAAAATTGGTTTACCACTTCGACCAGTGTTAGATATGTGTAATTCCCCATACCATGCCACAGCAAAATGGTTAGTCAAGCTCCTGAAACCTCTGCATAATGAGTTGGTAAAACATAGCGTAAATGGCAGTTTTGAATTTGTTGGAAAAATAAGAGATCTTAATGTGAAGGACAAGTTTATGATATCTTTTGATGTATCCTCCTTGTTCACCAACGTACCGTTAATGGAGACAGTGGATTTTATATGTGAGGAGATTACTACACGAAACATAGACATCGGCATTTCTGTATCCACCTTGAAGGAACTTATTTTAAGATGTACAATGAACGTTCATTTCTTATTCAATAAGGAATATTACAGACAAATTGATGGTGTAGCTATGGGTTCCCCATTAGGCCCAATCCTAGCTGATTTTTTCCTCGCTAAGTTAGAGAATGGACCACTGAAAGGAGTAATTAGTGACTTGGATTTCTACTGTCGATATATGGATGATACATTTCTGGTCATAAAAAACGAGGACGACGCAATGAACATCCTTGACAAGTTTAATGATGCCCATTCAGCAATAAACTTTACTATAGAGAAAGAAAGTAATGACTGTATCTCATTCCTAGACGTCTTCATGGCAAGGAAAGAAGATGGCACACTAAGAAGGAGTGTGTACAGGAAACCTACTACAACAGGACAGTACACTCATTTTTTGAGTTTTGTACCTTTGAAATATAAACGCAACCTGGTAAAGTGTCTGGTTCATAGAGCTAGGTTAATCTGTTCAGACGACTGCTTCAATGAGGAGCTTAAGATTATTAGAGAATTACTTAGAAAAAATGGTTATCCAGATAAGTTTATTGAGAAAAATATGAATTCATCACCTAGGACAGTGACTATGGCAACAGTTCCGAAAAAACCACTGTTCATAAAACTTCAGTTCCTCGGCGACAACATCAGCGAAATAATAACACAGCGACTGAAGAATGCAGTTAAAAGAGCTTATTATGCAGCAGAGGTACGCTGTCTCTTCACAACCACACCTATCCTACGTTCGAGTAATAAGGATAAACTACCTAAATTCGCCTCTTCTATGTGTATCTACCAGTTTGACTGCAGCTGCGGAGCCAGCTACATCGGGCGAACAATTAGGCAGGTTCATCATCGTATTTCCGAACATCATCCGGCATGGTTAAGCAAGGGACAAACAAAATCTATTCGTAGCTCTATTTTAGCCCACCTTGTAGATAGTGAGCATAAGGTTGATGTTAATACTGCATTTAAAATTATTTATCGCATTCCTACTAATCTTAATTTTGCTTTACGAGTTCGTCTTCTACATACAGCTGAAGCAATAGGAATCCACCTGAAGAAGCCAAACTTGTGTGTTCAGAAGAAATTTGTACAGCCACTTTCCTTACCTTGGCCATCGTTACATGACTGTATAAACCGGACTACTCCATCACCCTCCCTCTAGAATAATTTTTCTTTTTAAAAACTATAATTGTCCAAATTATTTTATTTTTCTGACTACTTCATCTTTAATTACGTGTTATCCTTGTAAAAATTATTTTATTCTTATGACCACTTCAACTTTAGTTACAAATTATCATTGTCCAAATTGTTTTATTTTCTTTAACAATCTGTTACGTAATCAACCTGTGCACACGCTTATTCCTTAATTGCTCTTCATTTTTCCAAAATTATGCATTATGCAATCCACGTGTTGTAACCATTTCCACCTTTTAATTATATATATTATTTTTCTTCGTTAATTATCACCCCATTGACATTTTGACACCGACTAATTATTGTTAACAAACATATCGCCACTTGATTGGTAAATTGTTGTGTATTGTAATTAAAATGCTATATATATTAGAGTAGAGCCAGAGATGAGGATCTAATTGAAAAGTAAATATTTCTTCGCTCAATCTTTCTCTTTTCTAAATGTCTAAATGGGGATATTTTCTATATTGAAATCTTTAAAATTCTCAATAAATTTTAGCGTATCATCAAATTGCAACTCTACGCAACATCATCACAAAATGAAGCAAAGAATGGCAGTCAAACCTCTACCTAAACGTTATTGATTGCGAATAGGCCCTCAAAAGACACCACTGACAGAGAAATAATTTGAAAACTGCTTCAACGCAACGGCATGCACTGCCCCAAGTCTTTATCAACCTCATTCAAACACAGCTATGTGTTAGTGGCAAGGGTCACGTGATCCATAACGGAAGACTCATCAAGGTGTTCAAAATGAATACAGGAGTACGCCAAGCTGGCTGCCTATTATCATTGATGATATTCTTGATTTTGATGGACTGGTCTGTGCTTCAGATTATGAGGAGTGGAAGACAAGATTTCTTGGACCCGTAAGAAGTCTCTAAAATATGTGGATTTCGCACGAATATAACTTGCGTTTAATGTCACATAAACTCGAAGACATGGAGGTGAAAACCAACAAACAAACTGGCTGAAGAGACGACACTCCAAGGGAAAACGGAGATGATGCAGGTAACAAACCAATCAACGCATAACAACAACAACCAGTCACAATCAACGGAGTACATCTGTCAGAGGTCACTTCCCTCACTTATCTAGGAAGCATCGTTTCATCTGCACGTGGAACAAATGATGCCAAAGCCTCAAATGGAAAGGCAAGACAGATCTTTTACAAGTGTGAAAAATCTTCTGAACTCAGTATAAAGAAAAAGATTCGGATCGCCAATACGAACGTCAAATCAGCCGTTCTACATGAGATAGAAACGTAGCAAGCCACGTAAAGCATTTCGAACAACCAGCTGCACACTTTTATTTCGGAATAATTAAGTTTGTGTATTGATAAATATTGTGTGAGAGTGAATTACCATATTTGGCTATCAGTTCAATATATCTCAGTGCACATACCTGACAGTCTCAGCATCCATCTTATATATCGTCAAGTAGTGAAACTTTGTATTTGTGGTAGAATAATACTTAAATTAGCTTGTTTATCTGATGTGGCACACGCTAACATTGATCGAGTGTCCACACACATAAATGCATGGCAACTGATACAAATCTCTAGTGCTGTGTAGTCATCTGTTTTATGTTTTTGGTGAAGCTGCCCTGAATGTCCCATGGCGGTAATCTAGTCCTTCGTATTCGTTACATTATACCCATTAGACAATTAAAGTTGACACCGAATTCAATGCAATTCGAAGCTAATCTGCCTCTCACTGTTTGACTATACATTTGATTAGAAGCTGACAGTGAAACTCCATCCCATCAAACAAGAACGTCATCAATACTCACGTCTAATTATTTGGTGAAACTTTGTGAACATTGGAATAATAACCTATCTCTTTAGAATTCTATTTCACTAGCTGTGGGAGATGTTTTCATCACTGCAAGTTTTATTATTCTTATTAACAGTAAGCTGTTTTTCTATAGACATCCAGGAAAGATCTAATGGTATAAATTTTAAACAGCATTCAAACCGTTATCTTTGAATGACTATCAAAAACGTCAGACAACCTGTATACCAGCTGTCACTTCATATAATGGCTAAACAATAAATATATTCGTAACCGAATTTATTCTAAATCACACTGCCAACAGAGCAAAAGTTGATCAGTTGTTTATGTCTTCGTGATAGTATTCACTTGCGAAACGCTCTTCATATCCTCCTTACACTAAGTTTCCAGTATCATAATGAAAATTTTGAGGTCAGAACTTAAGGAAAAGCATCCTCGGATGGAACGACGCACTTTCAAGTCACCCACATCGCATACAGTCAAATGGAATGCAACGATACGATATATTCATCGTAATAATGGACTACGAAAAAAAACTTGGGTTTAAGTTTCCATGTAATTTATTTTTATTTAATTTTTTATTTATTTTATTACAACTTGACTCCATACAGTAAAACTATGTTTGTTTTTTAACATGTGATATCTGTAGCCCAAATTTAACAACCCGACAACTGATATCAGAAGTGCGTCAGCAGAAAATCTAAACCCAGACAATGTACATGGTCGGTGAACGTCTTAACCCCTGTGCAACCGACGCACAGAAGCAACTTAGAATATGGTCGATGGGAAACTCGAAAACAAATGGAAACACATATGGATAAATATCAATCAAAACAGAAGTCAACTTGAATTGATCAACAACAAAATATCCACGATGTCAAACCCTCTGTTTGGCTGGTTTAGTTCAGTGACAAACAAATAATCAGACCAACCAAAAAACTGGAAATTTGACAGAAATTCAGCCAAGTATTCAAGCTAACAAACATACCTGATGTTGAATTCAACTCTAAATGTGTTATTCAAAGTGAAAAATAAGTTGCATGAATCACAGTGCAACCAAAGAGAACAAATCATATGAAATCCATCTCACAAACTCTGTATATGTTCACTCAATTAACTAAGTGCAGTGTATTTCAATTAGTGAAGCATTCATCGAGGTCAATCAATCCTAATCCATGTGAACTGGCATCACAAGATCTACACCACTATGATCACATACTGACAGACAGAATCGATTTATGTGACAAAGCTGACCACTGAACACGCGGCTTGACACTTCACCCGGATTTACATGCATATATAAATGTGTGCATGAGTGGAACACTATTCAACTCACCAGTGACCGACGAACAACTTGTAAGTTAAACAATTCATTTTCAAAATCCATTCGTACACTCATGTCTTACCAGTCAGTTCTCACACCACATCACCGAGGATAGCAGCTGAATTTTGTTTCATACAGTCGGTTATATGACATATCTGAATGGCAAACCATGAACTACGACAAAATTTACTGTGTATTGCACGTTTGAAGTGAAATGGGAAGCAGTATTATCTTCACTTCTGTATGTCACATTCAATTCCATGTCTAGTCACTCTAATTCACCCATCATTCTATAGTCAATTTTACTAGACTCAAATTCGAAATGTTCTTTTATCTGTATTTGTGTTTATTTGCATTCTCAGACTCCAGAGAATGACGCGGTTGTCGATGATCTGCATCATGATGGCTTGTGTTCTGCTGACACATCTCGCTGAAATCAATATGGCTACGAAATCTGAGAAAGTTCCACCACCTGTTGATGATGAAGGTGAGTCACAAGTATGACTGTTTTTTTCATTTTTGTGTAATTCACCTGATTACTCATATCCCACCGGTGTCGAAGCATGTTTACACCAGGGGGATGACCACTTAGTAACTGCTAATGGAGTCGGTGAATTAGGTCACACAACTGTCTTTTCATCTCACTTTCATTCGGTAGTGATTCAAACCACCAGGTTAAATAGAGGCACTTGACTGTAGAAGTATGACTATGAACAAAACATTGAATATATAGACGATTTGTGGAAGTTCATTTTGTAAGTGAACATTTGATCACCAATTGACTAATACTTTCCGCAGTCCAAACTACATTTCTGATGGAAAAGAATGTGCGCCACGTCTCTCTGAGCATTGTCATCGGTTTTAGAGAGAAGATCACCTCCGGTGACTCTGACCTCCACTCCAATCTTCATAATTTCGCTGGCAAAAATTGGTCAGCAACATCAACCTGTGATTATTCTGCATGACTTTGTATATAGTCTCAGTCGAGATATGCTCCAGACTGATGTTTAACAGCTGCTGTTCATTGATGAAGCTTATCCCTACAGTTGAAACACTGCACATTGGTCTTCATTACCATTCGTCGTATTTCGCTGCCGGGATCGTCGTGCGTCAAATATGATAAAGCATCGTGAAGTATAGTTTGTGAGTCACAAACTCCTAACTGACTCAATTGATTGCTGGCGAATTGGGGTTTTGAAGAAGACATATAGACAAATGAACATGTATATCACAACTTGATACAGATGACTGCATATCTTGTTTGTCAGTTTATTATTGCATATACGAACATTTGTTTCAATCATAGTACCAACTAGAATCATACTTTCAGATGCTCTCCATCTAAACTATTCTCATGATAGTAATAGCGAGTGTCTACTAGTCTGTAGCATTGAGAGCAGGTGGTATTTAGTGTTACCTCATTCACAGCCCCGTATTTTGTCATATATTTAGTGATGCATTCATTTAATGAATGTGTAAGTTAACGTCTTACATTATGTCATTGCAGTTTCCAGTCTCCACTTGTCTGGATTTCAAATTACATCAACAATCTATAGCACACAACGTTTTCACGGTGTTCAGTAATAGCTAGGTCAATGACAATTTCAAATATCATAGATATTTCATGCAGAAAATGATAAAGTTTTAACGCATATTGAGCAAATCAGATATTTTGTAGTCATAATTTCACTCTTCAATCAATTTGTGTATTTATCGTGATGCATATAGCATACATGTACTTGTATTTATCGTGAAAATTCCTCCTCTCCATTTCCAGTGTCTGTGAAGTCTCCAGGGGCAAACAAAACTGCTGAGAACGCCACAGGACAGAAAGATTCAGTGGAGGTGAAAGCAGAGAAGGTTGAGAAGGAGGTGAAAAGCGTTGTAGTGTGAAGTCTGTGAATGGGACATCCCATCAGACGAACGCAACCCAGGTGATAGATAAGAGCAAGTCGAAAGAAGGGAAGGGTAAGAAGAGCGTGAAAGACAAGAAGGACGATTGTGATGATGACGACAAGGACGATGATGATGATGACAAGGATGACAAGAAGAAGAAGGAGAAGAAGAAGCAGGCGAAGAAGGCCGCTAAAGCTGCGAAGGCGAAGAAGACCAACGAAACTGAGAAGGCGAGTGTAGACGCTAAGCAGGTGAAGGATGTGAAAGTGGTGACTGTTGAGAAGGATACTAATAAGACGGTTTAGATGTGTGTTATTTGGACATTCAGT